GATTTTTACCAGAGATTTTACTGTGTAGTGGTGAGAGCTTGCAACTGAGGGAAACAATTGCTCAGTGTACATATGGAGGACTGTTACGATGATCTTCATGCATAGAAAATGGATTGAATGATGAACACCACAATTCACATGCTGAATGTGACAGATAAAAAAACCAAACATTCCGGAAGATATCAAGAACCTACCCTCCATCTGTTACTTGCATAAAGCAGCCAACATAACACCAGTGGAAAGATGTGAAGTCTCTCTCCACCAAGATTTAAATCGAGACTTTTATGCAACAGTTCATCGCTGTAGCCAATGGAGATATGCGACAATGATGTCTTCCTGCTCAGTGCAGTCATGTGACATGCAGTAATGTTTCTCCAGTAGCCAGTGGTAATTTGTGAAAGTTCTTCACAATGACGCCTACCCACCCAGGGTGAAAACTGGAGGTAGTTCATCACAGTGAAATTTTGTCAGCCAGTTGCAGGCCAGATTTGGGAGAGTTTGACGTCGCGCCTTCACCGACTAGAAAATGGTCACATGTGAAGGTTCATGAGTGTAGGCCATCTACTCTAGAAACTGGAGATTGTGACATCTATCACTATGACATTCATCCATCCATCTTGCAACACTCCATATGCCCGCCATTTAGGCCTATGGCAGTTCACATTTCTGTCTCGACTCCACTTCATCGCTAGCAGACGAAACCTGTGAGGTTTCATCCCAAAGACATCTTTTCATTCAATAACAGACTCGTGACTACATTGATGTCTCTCCTTCAGTAGCAGGTGGAATCTCGGACTGGTCATCACAATGGCAGTTCTCCCAGTAGTTGTCACAGTTCATCATTCCATTCTGTCCATCCAATAGCAGATCAATGACAACTTTCAAATACCAACAACATCGAAGAGTTTACTAAGTCTTCTAGGATTTCTAGGGTGGAAGAAAATATGGTTTCTTTCTTAGCAAACAAAATTTGTCCTGTGTGTATTTGTATGGAGTACAGGAACCAAATGTTAAATTAGACAACTTAGGCTTTCAACTAAACACGCATGGAGGAGCACTAAAGTATAAAATGGGTACATCAAGAGTGAAGTGCACTGGATCCTTGGAATGGCCCAACATCAGGGTGTCAGTTGGGTGTAAACCTGGCTGGCGGTGACAGTGTACCTTACCTTGGAGGTATCATATATGCGTGAGCTCAAGGAAAGGAAAGATATATTGCTTATATATTGTAAAATGAGAGGGAAACCTGTTGTGTTGGGATTGGGGTATGTGGAGACTTTAAATCTGCTCTGGATCCTTGAAATGGCCCAACATCAGGGTGTTGGTTAGGTGTAAGCCTAGCTGACTGTGATGGTGCATCCTTTGTACGTGTATTTAATTTACAGGGTATAAGTTTAATGTAATATTATAGACGAATGCAATAAGAAAGGAAAACAGTTCATAATTGGGCAAGCAAAAAAGTGGCAGTGAATGACTATTAAAGACCAAATAAAATTAGAATTTTATTTATCACTTAAGTGGATGGGCAAGTGGGAATATTTTGTTTGATTTTTGATTGAATGAATTTAGGGAGGCCTAAGTTTTAGTTGGAGGAAGTTTACATGTACTCGTCATTTCAGTTGAGTAATTTTTGACCCTGTAGAAATAGGGCTAAACTTTTGGGGAAGGGACTTTTTGTTTGTCTTGAGACAAGAGATTAATTATACTAGTGGTTCTCTGTCAGTGGCATATCTAGGTGTCAGAGGGGACAACATGGATTTTTTACCCTCTTTTTTTCCTAACAGATTGCCCTACATCTGTGTTTTTGTTTTTCCCCGTAAAAAGAATCCCCCGCAGATGGGGTGGGTACTTCTCCTAAAGTCTGGTGCCTTCAATTAAAAAATCGGCCACATCTCCAAGTGGGAAAGTTGCTCCCTCCCTAAGATATGCCACTGTCCTTGTTTAAAAGCTCATCAGGTTTGCTACTACATGTATAGTCTTCTCCTAGCTTGGAACCCATACACTTCTTCATTCTCAGACTTTCTGTCAAACCCTCAATTTTTTTATGCTTGATGTTCACTCATTTTACATTTTTTTGTCAATATTGAGATAGAATCTAAAAGGAACTGTGTTTGTTTGGGCTCAAAACTAAAAGTAAATAGCCGTGACAAATGTACACCATGATTAAGATAATATATTTTTATGGTTTCACTTGGCAGGAGAAAGACCTACATGTATAATTCTCCCTTCACCCTCTCTGGATCACATTTACTGCCCTACGTACATTATATTTTCTATTCAAACTAGTACACTTGTACTATTTTGAGTTACATTTCCCTGCTGGATCAAATCAATAATGGAAATGTCAAGACATGGTCAGAGGTGTAATTTGTTTTTGTTATTGGGATTTTCTTTAGCGAACTGTTGCAGTTTTCATCGTACACACAAATAAATCAGACTTTGGCAACTTTTAGCAGAATTGATGATGGAACTAAAGGGATATTTCTGATGGTCGACTCGATTCAAAACGTTTTCTCTTGTTCCCTACATGTATTTCTTAAAGCCATGGTTTCCAAGCCCGAACAAACATTGCACTAGAATCTTACACATTCTCACCTATACGACATTCACCGGTTTATCCAAAGTGTTAAACTGAGTTCAGATGCCCCATTTTCAAGACAGTGGTGTTCAGTCATGCATGACAGGAGGAATATCATCAAGATGAGAAATAATACTGCTTCTACTTTTCAGAGATACTTGTGCATTATAATCATATCTCATGGTTTGGGCATATTAACCCCTTTCCTCAGGATTTGTTTTTTTTTCTGGGACACCCTGTAGTTGGCAGTGATAGCCTCGTGATTGCCTCATTAGTGATCACCACCCGTCCAATAAAGTTGAGTCATTACAAGGAAAAGGTATTATTATTATTACCGGTTTATTGCCACTCACTTGCAACCCTAAGGTTGAAGAGCAAAGTCGTACATCAAAATACATTAAAAATGCATATAAGAAATACTACAGTAGATAATAAAATAATGAAAACATCCAAACCATAAACAATACACATAAGGTCTAATATAATAAAGCATTGGGATCATGCAATATGCATTAAGACACATTACATTAATAGACATTGCATATACTAAGACACCAGAGGAAAAATAGTCATCAGTAATGCCCTCGTACATATTTGTCTCATCAAATCAAAGTTATGCACCATTCCAAAATCCAAGAATCAATTTCCATTGCATTATTCAACAATCTTGTCAAGTACGGTAAGGGGCTAATTTGAAATCTGTTTGTTGGACCATGATGGCAGTCAATTTTTCGAGCTGACCTTAAGAACATTGCATGACACCTGTTAGATTTGGGAAACCAGTCAGGGAATTTGTTAGAATGGAAGGTCTTCAGGGAAAATTTAGTACACAAGTACACAAGGCTTCTCAATCCAGTAAACGCAGAGCTTGATCATAATTTACAATAATTATTGCCAAGAATGATGTGACAAATTCATCTTTGGATTGATTCTAATTGGTTAGATTAAGCTGTCGTCAACAATTGATGCCAAACAGGAAAAGCATATTCCATAATTGGTTGCAGGTAGCTTTTATACACACAGACCAATTTGTCCGTAGTTAATCCCGTCATTTTAAGTTTACGATTAGCCTAGTTAGAATGTCGGCAATGTGACCATCTCACTTCATGTTACTCTGAAGGATGACCCCTAGGAGCTTGACACTAGACAATAGGCAGCTGAACATTAGAAATATTGTAGGTGGCTTCTGGGGGATCCTGTCTGCCAAAATACACCTGTAATGTTTGACATTTAACAGGATTCAAGGAAAACCCATTACTCTTCGACCACTCACTCGAGATATCAAGATCATGTTGTATGTTACTATTGTACAAACAGTTTTCCCCCAAGGTCAAGTCATCGACATATTTCCAACATCTATTATGACTGGAATCAAGAGCACTATTTATGCACATCAAAAAAATCACTGGGCCAAGTTTAGTACCTTGGAGAACACCCCCAGACAAGGTCTGCCAGTCAGAAAAGGACTGTTTATATCTGACCCTATGCTGACGTTCTGTAAGAAACTCAGCAATCCATTTGACAACCGATGGGGAAATCCCAAGCTCAATAAGTTTGTTTATGGCCATTATGTGGACTATTGTATCAAATCTTTGCTGAAGTCAGTTAATATTAATGTGCCAATGTTACCTGGTCTATAAGGTAGCCATGTATTTCATGAGTCTTAATTGGCATGAGAAATATGAGCTCATGTATGGACTATCTCTTGCTCTTTAGTATCTGTCTTTGGTGCATACAACCCAAATTTCCTTTGCCTGATATTTTTGCCGAACCCAAATGAATCAACAATAATGTACTGTACAGATTTTATGCTGAAGGCTGGTTTCAGAAGCAGTTCTTTTCTCCCAAAGGTTGTTAAGCAACAAAACCTTAGATGAAAGGACAAGATGCTTTGGATAAGGCAGGGTACAGGATTGATACTAGGACCGAAAGGTCATGAACAAATTGAGGAAAAGGGTTTTATATGATGTAGATATTGAAAGCTTTGTTGTAATTTCGGTTGAAATGGAATGATCTTGAAATTGAGAAGCTCATGATGGAGCAGTGCATGTATGCATGCATAGCTGTTCAG